AAAATGATGAAGCTTAGTGAAGAGGCCATGTTGAAAGCCAGCACAGGCTGAAAGCTAAGCCTCTTGTGCCAAACAGCCGAACTGTAAATGCAAAGGAAAAGTTCTTGAAGGAAGATAAAAGTGCTGCTCCAGTGAACACACCAATGATAGAGAATTAGCCTTCTTGCTGATAGGGAGAAAGTTTTAGTGCCTGGAGAGATGATCAGCCCAGACATTGTATTTCCTTAAGCCAGAGCCTAATCCACAGCGAAGTCCTAACTATCTTCACTTCGATGAAGACTGACAGAGGTGAGGAAGTCGCAGAAGAAAAGTTTGAAGAGGTTGGTGAGGTTCAAGGAATGAAGCCGTCTCCGTAACATAAAAGTGCAAGGTAAAGTAGCAAGTTATCTAGAAGATCTAGCTAAGATCATTGATGAAGGTGGCTCCACTAAACAACAGATTTTCAATGTGTATTAAACATCTTCTGCTGGAAGAAGATGCCATCTGGAACTTTCCCAGCTAGAGAGGAGAGGTCAGTGCCTGACTTCAAGGCTTCAAAGGACAAGCTAACTGTTGTCACAGCTAATGCAGGTGGTGACTTGAAGTTGAAGTAAGCACTCATTTTCCATTCTGAAAAGCCTGGGGCCCTTAAGAATCATGCTGAATCTGTGCTGCCTGCGCTCTACACCTGGAAAAACAAAGCCTGGATGGCTCCTGAACTGTATGGGGGACCTTCTTACACGCTGGTTTCCCAAGTGTTTTAAGCCCAGTGTTGAGACCTGCTGCTCAGAAAAAAAAGAGTCCCTCAAAATATAACTGCTCATCAGTAGTGCACCTGATCACCCAGGAGCTCTGATGCGGCTGTACAAGGAGTTGAAGGCTGTTTTCTTGCCTGCTGACACCTCCTCCATTCTCCAGCCCAGGGATCAAGGAGAAATTTCAACTTTCAAGTCTTATTATTTAAGAAATACATTTTGTAAGACAATAGCTGCCACAGACAGTGATTCCTCTGATGGATCTGGGCAAAGTAAGTCGAAAACCTCCTGGAAAGGATTCACCATCCTAGATGCCATTGAAAACACCAGTGATTCATGAGAAGAGACAAAATATGAACATTAACAGGAGTTTGGAAGAAGTTGATTCCAGCTCTCATGGATGACTTTGAGGGGTTCAGGACTTCAGTGGAGGAAGGAGGTGCAGGTGGAATGGAAATAGTGAGAGAACTGTAGTTAGAAGTGGAGCCTGAAGAGGGGACTGAATTGCTGCAGTCTCAGGATCAAAGTTTAAGGATGAGAAATTGCTTCTTATGACTAACAAAGAAAGTGGTTTCCTGAGATGGAATCTACTCCTGTGAAGATGCTGCAAACATTGTTGAAATGACAATAAGCGATTTAGAATATCACATAAATTTAGCTGATAAAGGAGTAGCAGGGTTTGAGAGGATGACTCCGATTTTGAAAAATGTTCTACTGTGGGTAAAATGCTGTCAAACAGCATGGCATGCTACAGAGAAATCTTTTTTGAAAGGAAGAGTCAGTGCAGCAAACTTCACTGTTGTCTTATTTTAAGACGTTGTCACAATCACCCTAACCTTCAGCAACCACCACCCTAGTCAGTCAGCAACCATCAACACTGAGGCAAAACCCTCTACCAGCCAGATTGTGACACGCTGAAGGCTTAGGTGATCGTAAGCATTTTTTAGCAATAAAGTGTTTTAAAATAAAGGTATGTACATTTTTTAAAAGCTATAATGCTGTTGCACACTTAATAGACTATAGTTTAAACATAACTTTTGTATGCCTTGGGAAACCAAAAAATGTGTGTGACTCACATGTTGCAATATTCCCTTTACTGCACTGCTCTAGAACCCAGCCCGCGATATCTCCGAGGCATGGCTGTGTAGGAAAAATTCTTTATTTCTTTATTAAATAGCATCTTTGAATTGTTTTCTCTTTACTGTTCTTTTAACCACAGTGGCCTCATCTGATTTTACTTAGATGCTTACCTGCCACTTTCCTTGACACAGCCGCCCTTTCTTGAAGTTCACGTGGCTCCTGTGTCTCTTGGCTCTGCGGATGGAACAGTCACCATTGGGGATCCTCTGATGGTGCGCTGTGCAAGGTGCTTGCATTTGAACCTGAGTCGAGTGCAAGATTCTGTGCTGCATCTTTGATATGTTCTTATTTCCTGAAGTAGATTTGTGAACAGGAGTAACAACCTTCAGAACTAAATGATAGAATCCTGTTACGATGCCCTCTTAAATCTTAGTTTCCTCATAACAGGTATTTTTGTATGACCAGAATATTTTGTTGTGGCAGGGAGAACCTGTTCCTTTTTAAGTTCTGTGAGAGAAACGAGAAAGGAAAATGAGTTCTTCAGTCAATGTTTATAAATACATTCATATGATTTAGATGTAGAGGTTTAGCCAGGTGGTTCAATGGGTGGACTAGGGAAAAACATTTATTTTAAGGGGGAAGTAAAGCATAGGTTGATACTGATGTTTGCAGTCCAGTTTGAAGATTAGTTGCCTATTTTTTCCTTCCTAATTTTTATATTTATATCTCATTTCTGTTACACTGAGAAATCGTAGCCTTTCAGGATCTTAAAAATTTTTGTTTTTTTTTTTTTTTTAGTTCTATCTGTAAGAATCTTGACTCTTCCACTTTATATTTGCTTGCAAGCAAAAAGGGATTCAAGCAGTTTTGTTACTCAGCTATATGCGTGACTGAGATCATGCAATTTTACTTAGAATTTCTTCTACAAATATGGAGCACAAGTAATTTTATTATGTGCTGTTAAAGGAACATAATAGGAAAAGCAGTATTTCTAATCAATAGTTTTTACCAACCAACATCTACTTAATGGAATGTTAGTTAACTGTATGGGAATTATTCTAAGATAAACACAGATGTCGAATGAATGGGTAGAGCACGGTCTGCTGATTGGAAAATACAAAGTAAAACAATGATAAAGTCCGTTATTTAACTGCCAGATAGGCTGGGTTTTAGTGTTGTTTTTGGTGAGGTATGTGAAAAGGACATTTTCATACACTTTGGGTGGGAATGTAAATGGGTACAGTATTTTTGGAGGGCAGGTAGGTACTATCTATTGACATTAAAAGTGAATATAAGCCTTTGACCCCAAAATCTGACTTTTGGAATGCTAGTCTACATATGTATACAAGAACATGTATGTAAAAAGGCATTCCCCGAATCATTATTTGTAATTACAATAAAGAGAAACTGTCAAAATTCTAAGTGCCCATCCACAGGAGCGTGGGTAAATAAATTATTTTATGATTTTACGAGCAAAACCTGTGACATTATCAAAAAACAAAAAGAGGCAGGTCTCCACGTACTACCAAAGAAAGGTGTCCTTGATATATTGCGAAGGATGAAGTGTGAGTCTGTGTTGTGCACTAACACATTTTGTCTATAAAGAAACAAGTCTGTGTGCACCTGATTTGATAGTTGGAAGTTGTTTGGAACTTAATATTTTGCCCTTGTTTTAAAACAGCTTTTAGAAATTAACTGGACAGGACTGACGAATCTTCTGGATATCCCTGGATTGAAGTAAGTCTCATGCCTGGTCCCCGAGGCTTAGCGTTCGAGGGCGTGTTGTGCATTTTCGATGTCTTGACAATAGTGTGAGAATGGTTAAGACCTGCGTCTGCCAGGTGAATGGGTGCCTTCTCCACAGGCCGTCGTGGAAACAAGCAGAGGCACAGGGGCTTCCTTCTGCCCACAGGGAGCTGCTGGGAGGTGATGGGCCAGGGCAGGAGGGCTCTGGAGTGCCAGCTGAGCACTCAGTCTTCATTTGCTTTTGTTCACCACAAGGTGTCTTGCTGGCCTTGGCATTTTAGAAAAGTAGAGGCCTTTTAATATTTTGTAAACCAGTTTGCCAATTTGGTTTTTTTGTTTTTTTTTTTATCTTCTCAGAAACAATAAAGGAAACTTTAAAAGGAAATGCTTTCCAGGGTCTCTCCAGCCTATGGCTACCCCACCCTTTCCGCATTTTTTTTTTTTAAACCTTTATTCCATTCCTTTTTGAAAGTGGTTGGGGACAGTGTGGACTTCGCCAGTACTCTTCAGTGTGAGAGGTGAGGAACTTGAAGTTCCATATCATTTCACTGGGAGTCCTTTCATTATTACACAGCGATCTGGTGTCTAAAACAGGAGAAAAATGTTGCGTAACAAGCATCTGAGGCCCTGGAGAGCATCCCTGCTCAGAGACAAGGAGTCATTCTAGTTACCATGGTCCCGTTACCTGAAACAGTGCATGGGGCTGTGGATGGCAGACCTGTTGGTCACCCCCAAATAGGAAGTTTTGAAATTACAGCCTCTAAATGCTTTTATTGACTTTACCGTTTTTTTTGAAAGTTAAAACACATCACCTTTGGGTTAAAGTTATATGTTTCTAGTGGATATTTTCTAGTGTGATTTGTTTTTCCTAAAATAGTTTAGAAAATTATGAAACTTGGTTTCAGACTATTTTTTTATTCCCGTATATTTGTTTATGCCTCTGAAATGGCCTTTCTAAAGAGTTTTGTTTCATTATTAGGGAAAAATTAGGACTTTAATTATCTGAAGCACAGTCATAATTAAAGTCCTTTTTAGGTGCTGTAGTTTACTGGATACAGAAAAATGCTGTGATCTTTAAAAGATCTGCGGAAAGAAAGCACGACTTTAAAAGATTGGTTAAAGAGTTCATTAACATTCTGGTTGCAAGCAACAAACCTGACTCAAGTGGTCTTAAGTAGGTAAATAAGTAAGTTTCTTTTCTTTCCTTTTTTTTTTTTTTTTTTTCTGAGATGGAATCTCTGTTGCCTAGGCTGGAGTGCAGTGTTGCTATCTCAGCTCACTGCACCCTCCGTCTCCTGGGTTCAAGCAATTCTCCCTGCCTCAGCCTCCCAAGTAGCTGGGATTACAGGCGCATGCTGCCACACCCGGCTAATTTTTGTATTTTTTTAGTAGAAATGGGGTTTTGCCATGTTGGTGAGGCTGGTCTTGAACTCCTGACCTCAGGTGATCCGCCCGCCTTGGCCTCTCAAAGTGCTGGGATTACAGGCATGAGCCACCGCGCCTGGCCAGTAAATAATATTTTCAAAAAGCAGTTTATTCACTCTTCCAACAATGGGCGCCCACTGCCTGCTCTGAGCCAGTCGCAGCTGCTCGTGCATGGGACACGCCTGTGCTTGTTTCCTGCTCAGCAGCTGGAATGCTGACGTGTCCTCTGAGGGGTTTCAGATGGAGCCATGTTGGCACCGTAAGGGCTCTCTCTCCAGTTCCTGACCCATGTAGAGTGGGCGTGTCCCTCGTGGGCTGGTTTTCAGGCAGGCTCTTGCTGTGCCTGCAGCTATAAGCCTTTAGTCTGCGGATTGAGTCACCTTTCCCCCTAGGTCCTGGCCTGACTTGTGTGTGCAAAGACCACCCTTGGACAGATTCCTGCGACTCCGACGATCAGGTTTCAATCTCCAGGACATTCCTACAGAAGGCAAAGAAATGGATAACTTGTGTGAAAAAACTCCAGTGAATGGGGGTATCCCCCAAAGCAAAAACTTTCACTAGAAGTAGGGGGAGTAGATACTATTTAGCCAAATGGAACAAACATTC